ATCTTTGCTTATACCTATGTCTTTTTAATAGATCTTATTTTCTGAAACTACATGCATTCCAGATTTGTCTTGCAAAATACTATATTGTTACTTGAGTTTCTTTAGGATCCAGTGTTCTCCAGGCCTTCCATTTGGTTTTCCTCCTTTATATAATACAATAATATTATAAATGCATGCATATATGTACATACTTACATACACAAAACCAAAATATTTCACTTATAAAGCCATAAGAAAGACATCAACAAGATTAGAATAAAGGAGTAGATGTCTTAAAGAATCAGAAAGAACATATACAAACGTAAGAAATAAACTTCAAATTAAGGTATTTCAGTATCTGATTACTTGCCCAAATTGCAGATCAATATAATTACTATATTGCTCTTGAGTATATATATTAAGTAGTAGAATACATTTTATGTCTTTTGTATTTATTTACAAATGCAAAAATGAAATACTTTCCTTTCAAATAACAGAAGTAATGATTAAAACTATTTAATCATATGAGCATGGTGGCGCATGCCTATAATCCCAACACTCGGGAGGGTGAGGCAAAAGGATCACTGCAAGTTCGAGGCCCACCTGGGCTACAAAGTGAGCTCAAGGCCAGCCTGAACTGCACAGCGAGATTCTGTCTCAAAAAGACAAAAAGAAAAAAATATTTAATCATAATATTTAAAAAACATGGCACAAAAATATTATGAGATCCTTAGGTTGAGGAAGTTTAAAAGTTCTCAAATATTGAATATATTTTAATGAACACTAACTTAAATATCTATGCAATGATATACTACCAGAAATAAGGTTTGAAGACCATGATACTTAACAGTAAGAAGAATATAGAAGATATCATTTAACTTTTGGGTAAATAACAATAAAATTACCGTGTATTCACTGTTCTTTCCTTTGAAGTACACTTTTACCAAATAACGCACTGTAAAGTAGCCTAGCTCTGTACTTTACTAAACCATGTTGTGTTTTCCTTGCAAGTAGACAAGTAACAACATACACTCAGCAAAATATTTCCCAGAGAAAGAGTAATTGTAGTTGTGCACAATTTTCATGTTTGAAAGTACCTAAGAAAATACATGTAAAGTGCATTGTACATGGCACATAGGACTTGTTGATAAGCCTCCTATTTTGAAGGATGTATCACTATGATTTTATTTTTATTTCCTTTCTAAAGTTGTCTTCTATAACCTGTGAATACTCTATTGTAGTTGCATTGTCCTCCTTATGTTTAAACACATTAAGAACACTGCCATCTCAGCATCACTGAAACTGCTGTTCTCTGTTCCTGGAAGGCACTCCTTACAAATATAGGCCACTTTTTATCTTACAAAAAAAATCTTAAAGTAAGTTTCGCTGTTTAAAATTCAGAATTTCCCTCAAATGTAAATATTTCTCAAACATATTCCATGTGCAGATAAGTTTGTGTTGAGGATGAAGACCCACAACCCATTTCACTGTATCTAAAGTTTTGTTAAAAAGGCACTCTCAAGTTTCTATTTTTTTGGAATATGTTCTACTGGTTGAATAGCCAGATTTCCAGAGAACAAAACATCATCATGGATACAGGATGACTGGAAAGTCACCTCTGTGGCACAGGACATGCATGTGATCCTAAAATCACTACAAAAGACAACAGGGAAGGGCATATTTTCAGTCCACAGGTTAAGCTAAAGGATGTTTTGGACATTATTAATTAGACTGTGTAGGAGTATGTGACACATCTTTGTACAGAAAAATACGTACAGTGTTAAAGGATTGTCTGATAGCGGTTCAAAAGAAACAAACTCTTACTTGCTTCAAATTCATGATTTACACTTCTTGCTACTTCTTTCAATTCACTTAAATCTCTGCCCAAATATCACCTCATCAGCTCATCCCCTAATCTGAAAGAGCACCTTATTTAATTTTTCTTTACATTACTTATAACCAATTAATTACTATATTTTGGCATATTTTATTGCCTCCCTTTCTGTTAGTACATATATTCCATGAAAACAGTTTCTTTGTTTTGATTCTGTTTCATTACTAACACTTAGAAGTGTGCCTGATACTAGGGGAATGCTCAAAATTTATGGAAAAAATTATTATTGAATTCCCTTATTCATTCAGTTCTTTTTTTGAAAATTGGAAAGGGCTCAAGTGGGCTCAAAAGTGCTGTTTTGTCTAAAGGAGAAGGTATACAAAGATATACAATTTTGCAAGTTATGTAATATCCTAAAGCCCTGACAGGTAGAATGAAGGCATGAGCCCCATTCCTCCCAATTCCTTTAAACAGCTGTGTGAACTTTTAATTTTGTACTGTGTTCTGGGTCCATAATCAAGTAATGTACATTTTATTCAATGTTGTCAAACACAATGTAGAGATAACTGCATTTGTTTTAGCAATTCCAGTTTAGTATAATTTTGACTGATCGTGGCAATCGTGGCAATCACCTGTGTTCTTATGCATTTATTTATGAGCAACTATTTTAAATGAAGACTATTAAGTAACGAGAATCAAAATTGATAATTGAATCCAGATTTCTGTTTACAGGCGTAGTGATATACATATTTTTTTTTTTTTTTTTTTTTTTTT